CCGGTCTGTCTGGTGCTGCCAGTCTGGGCTGTTGCCCGGGTCTGCAACTCTGGGTGGTTCTCAGCAAGGTGATGTTTTCCTGGTTCATGTGCTGCTGAAGTCTCAGAGTGAATTGCTGTATCTGATTCAGAGAACAACGGAGGTGATGTCCCCCAGATCCTCCGTGCCTAATACACTTTCCAGGTGGGTCAGTGCCCTGCCTTGTCTCAGCTAGATGCCTTTGGGCTGCTTTTGCTGCCTTTTTGGGGGTTAATCCCACTGTTCAACCAGTCTCTTTAAAACAAAACCGGCACCTTGCTCAGAAACTTGGATATCGCTCTGTTTCTGTCTTACTCGGTGGTAGCTGCACTCCAGAGAAGCTTCCTTTCGGCTGTCTTCCCCACTTTCCCTCCTGTCTTCTCATTCTTAATGCAATTTTGCAGGAGATAAAACTGAGACACAGAAATATTAATTAACCTGCCCAAGATCATACAGTTTGGATATGAAGCCAGAATTTGAACCCAGACCATATGGCTGCAGTATGCAGCTACAGAATCAGGTTACAGTGTTGGTGGTCTTAGTCACTACATCATAATTTATTATTACTCCCCTTTTACAGATGGTATATTAGTCTGCTCTCATGCTGCTAATAAGCACACACCTGATAATGGATAATTTATTAAGAAAAAGAGTTTTAAGATTCCACATGATTGAGGAGGCCTCACAATCATGGTGGGGAGTGAAGGAGGAGCAAAGTCTTTTGCCTTACATGGCAGCAGGAAAGAGGCATGTGCAGGGGAACCGCCCTTTATAAAACCATCAGATCTCATGAGACTTATTCACTATCATGAGAACAGCATGGGATAAACCACCCCCATGATTCAATTACTTCCCACCAGGACCCTCTCATGACACATGGAGATTATGGGAGCTATTATTCAAGATGAGATTTGGATGAGGACACAGCCAAACAATATCAGATGGTAAAACCAAAGTGACAAAAAGTATGGTTTCTTTCCCAGATTCAGAGCCACTGCAGAAACTATGACTGATCCATTTCATCAGAAATGTCCTTTCTTCATTCATTTCTTTCTTCCTTATCTCTTTCTTTTTAAGAAACAGGAGACTTTGGAATAAGGAAAATGTGTTGTCTACTTGTTTATTTAAATGTCAGAGAAAAGGAGACTTTTATGCTGCAACAGTGTTCTTAACTCATTAGAAAGTATGGTAAAATAGCCTGTGATCAATTAGTTGGAATTTTAGCCATGTTGCTTCTATCAACACATCCTTTATTCCTCAAATAAAAAATAAACAGTTTTAATGTATGCAAATAATTGGTGCTTTTTATAAGCTGTTTTGAAATACGGAATATAGAATGAAAACTGTCATTCCACATTTACTGCCCAGAGACAATCGTTTTCTTTATTTTTTCTACTCTCCTCTTTGTTGCACGTATTCTATATAGTTTAAATTTAACTATACATGCAATTTAGTAGTCTGTCTTTCTCATTTAGTAAGGCAACATAAACATACCCTCATATGAATGTAAACTATTCATTAGTATATCTTCCAATGGTTATATTGTATTGCATATTAAGTAACAAAACCAATTACTCATTCTCCTACTATTGGAAGGTAAGAATATTGCTAATATTCTGCTATGATGAATAAACTAGAGTACATATTTTTATACATAATTTTTATTTTTCTATTTCAAATTTTATCCTCAGACTAGAGTTGCAGAAGTAGAAAGATTAGATCAATGGGCAAGATATGTTATCAGATTGCTTTTCAGATAAGATATGCCAATTTACATTTCCAGCTACAGTGAATGAGAGTGTTCATTTTGCAACAATCTCACCAGCATCTTAATTTTAACAACTGTTATTCAAGTGTGCAGAAAGTATTTCATTAAAATAATTGCCTCTTTAGATTTTTCACATTCACCTTCTCAGTGTGAAACTAAACAAAACAAAATAATTGTCACCCATTTATTTTGTAGAAAACAACAGCCCTCACTTAAGATGAAATCATAGAGTGGCTGCAGAAAAATGGGATTGCTCGTTGACTCTAATTGAACCAGAAGTTAAACCTACATATTTCATGAAGAAACTGAATGTGGGAGATAAATATGATGCAAACTTGGGAGCTACTAATGAGGACAAATTTTAAAAAATGGTGAGTTTACCAAGATCTTGGAATACCACAAATAGAGTGAGAAGAATTCAGGTATGGAGAGTTATTTTCTTTTATGTGTATTTGGTTACCTTTTTGTTTGTTTTCATTGGTTGCCACTTCATTAGTATTCCTTATTGAATCAGGATTATAGGTTATGATTATAATAAGGAAGCCAGTTTGCTAACTCTATGAATGTGGTTTTATTTTTATACTCCTGCTTTATGCACTTCTTCTGTTTTGTTGTTTTGTTTTTGCAGACCCTAGCACAACACTGAAGTTACCTTGAGATGTTAGATTAACTGTTAGCAATGCAGACTCTGAAGGCAGATATGAGTTAAAAATCTGCTCTTATGTTTACCAGCTGTACATTTTTGGACAAGTTATCTAATTCCTCAAAGCCTCAGTTTCCTTATTTAGAAAATTGAAATAACGATAGGACCTACCTTGTATCATTGCAAGAAAATTGCTGAGGCCTTGCAAACAGTGACAGTGCCTAATAAAAGATCAGTAACTAATAGTTGTTGCTATAGTCATCATCATCATCATCACCACTGTCCTTCTCCTTCTCCTCCTCATTGTCGTCAATATATTTTAATTTCCTGATTCTTTTTGTGCATGATTTAATTCTGCCTCAACTATGAGATTGAGAAACTCTAGCGCTCACTGCCTTATCTTTTTTCATTCATTCATCAATAAACATTTGTTTAGAACAAAATAAAGTCTGGACGCAAGAAACTTATATGCTTATAAGAAAAGATCAATAGTGAAGAAATAAGTATTTAGCATGTCTGGTGGTATTGTGATCGGAAAAAATAGAACAAGGCAAGGGACACAGGGAGGGATGAAAGTCAGAATGGGGTTACATGGGGGGAAGGTAGGTTATTATTCATGCAAAGTGGTAAAAATCTCTGACAAATGGCATTTGAGCTGTCTTGAACAGAAAGAGAGAAGAAAGCACAATTCCCAATGAAGAAACATGCCTGGTATGTTAAAAATCCAGCAAGAGGGACTGTGTAAAATGAATAGAGTCATCCCATGGAGGAATAAAATGAGATGAAGTCAGAATGTGGGGAAAAGGCAGAACATGTAGGACTCTGTAGGCCACCATAGGCCACCATAGGGACTTTGACTTTTACCCTGAGTGAGAGGGGAAGCCACTGAATGAGCAGAAGAATGACCAGTTAAAGACAGAAGTGAGGGATAAGGTAAGGGAGGCTATTTAAATCACTCAGGTGAGACAAAGTGGTAGCTTGGACCCGGTGGTAGTAATGGTGGTAGTGATAGAGAATTGGTTGGATTCTTGATATATACACAAATATATATAGAACTGTCATCTTATTTTTAATGCACTAACCTTATAACTAGGTATAAAACAAACCTGGTCCTTTTCTTTTTGTTTCCAGTAGCTGCACTTATTCTTTTGTTCTTTAGAATGCTCCTTCTATTTTTTGTTGTTGACAATTTTTTGTTGTTAATTATTGATATGATTTGGCTCTGTGTTCCCACCCAGATAGTATCTCCAGTAATAATCCCCATGTGTCAAGGGAGGGAGGTGATTGGATCATGGGGCGGTTTCCCCCACAGTGTTCTTTCCATAGTGAGTGAGTTCTTATGACACCTGCTGGTTTTATAACTGTTTGGAAGTTCCTCCTTCACTGTTCTCAATCCTGCCACCAGGTAAGATGTGCCTGCTTCCTTTTCTGCCATGATTGTAAGTTTCTTGAGGCCTTCCCAGCCAGGTGGAATTGTGAATCAATTAAATCACTTTAATTTTTAAATTACCCAGTCTTGGGTATTTCTTTACAGCAATGTGAGAATGTTTCATACAGTAAATTGGTACTGCAGAGACTGGGGGCACTGTTATAAACATAACCTGAAGATGTGGAAGCAACTTTGGAACTGGGTAATAGGCAGAGGTTGGAACGGTTTGGAGGGCTTAGAAGAAGACAGGAAAATGTGAGAAGGTTTGGAACTTCCTAGAGCCTTGGAAGGCTCAGATGACAGGAAGATGTGGGAAAGTTTGGAAATTCCTGGAGACTTATTGAATGGCTTTGACAAAAGTGCTAATAGGTATCTTGAAAATAAGGTCCAGGCTGAGGTGATCTCAGATGGAGATAAAGAATTTGTTGGGAACTGGAGTAAAGGTCACACTTGCTGTGGAACTGGTGGCATTTTGCCCCGTCCTAAAGATCTGTGGAAATTTGAACTTAAGAGAGATGACTTAGAGTACCTGATGGAAGAAATTTCTAAGCAGCAAAGCATTCAAGAGGAAGCAGAAAGTAAACTGCAAAATTTACAGCCTGATCATGAGAAAACATAAACACAGTTTCTTGGGACAAATTCAAGCCAGCTGCATAAATTTGCATAAGTAACCAGGAGTCAAATGTTAATCACCAAGACAATGGGGAAAAGGTCTCCAGGGCATTTCAGAGACCTTCCCAGCAACCCCTCCCATCACTGACCTGGAAATTTAGGAGGAAAACATGGTTTTGTGGGCCAGGCCCTCAGGGAGAACTTCTGTTAGGGCAATGTAGAAGGGAAATGTGGGGATGGGGCCCTCACACAGAGTGACCACTGGGGCACTGCCTAGTGGAGCAGTAAGAAAAGGGCTGCTGTCCTCCAGACCCCAGGATGATAGATCCACCAACAGCTTGTGAAGTAGTGGACCGAGTATGAAATTAAAAATAACACCAAGACAAAAGTATGCCAAATTGCAGGGTCTTTATTGCTGGTGGCCACAGAGGACTCACGTGTCTCCAACCTGTGGCCCCGAGCTCAGGGAGAGAGGGGTTTTTAATCTGAAAAACCACATCCTGGTTTTAGGACCGAGAGGGTGAGAGGCGGGGGTGGGGCTGAAGGGATTCAGACATTCGGATGGCCAGGGGATTCGGTAAATCACCTCCTGGGCAGAGGTGAGAGTGGGGTTCCCTGGACATTCCAAGGGCTAGGGGACTTTTGTCATTCTGATTGTTACTTAAGTGGTTTACAGAAGTCAAGATAAATGTTAGTTTACACATTGTCTGGGTAGTGGTGGAAGTCACAGATCTTAGTTACTTATTACAAGTCGCAGGGACCAAGACAGAATTAGCTTGGGCTGCTTATTCTGGTACTGATAAGAAAAGGTAAGCAGGTTTACATAGTGGGCATTTTTCAGAGCAAACTAGCAGTTTTATTTACAGAAGCAGTTATTGCTAGAAGAATGGGGCAGCCGTTACAACTTACTTTTTGGAAACACAGCTTTGTCTTATAAAATGGCGTTGCTCAGGTTCTGGCTCTAGGTCAGCTATAGCACACTTGCACGGGGTGCCTGGAGAAGCTGCAGACACTCAACACTAGACACGGAAGCAGCCGGGGGTGGGTTGGCGGCAGGGGAGAACTGTACCCTGCAAAGCCACAGAAGCGGAGGTTTCCAAGGCCACGAGAGCCCACCCTTTGTATCAGAATGCCTTGGATATGAGACATGGAGTCAAAGGAGATCATTCTGGAGCTTTAAGATTTGATCAATGCCCTGCCAGATTTCAGACTTGCATGGGCCTGTAGCCCTTTGCAAATTTGGCCATTCTCCCATTTGAAATGGTAGCATTTACCCAATGCCTGTATCCCTACTATATCTTGGAAGTAACTGACTTGCTTTTGATTTTACAGGCTCATAGGCAGAAGGGACTTGCCTTGTTTAAGATAAGACTTTCAACTGGACTTTTGAATTAATGCTGAAATGAGTTAAGACTTTGGGGGAACTGTTGGGAAGGCATTGTTGGTTTTGAAATGTGAAAAGACATGAGATTTGGGAGAGACCAGAGCAGAATTATATGGAATCACCTTGAATTTTAATCCCCACTGTTGAGGGAGGGAGGTGGTTTCCCCCCAGCTCACTATTTCTCATGATAGTGAGCGACTTCTCAAGAGATATGATCATTTTATAAGTATTTGGGAGTTCATCCTTCACTCTTCTCTCTCCTGCCACCCCATAAGACATGCCTGCTTCCCATTCTGCTATAATTGTAAGTTTCCTGAGGCCTCCCCAGCCATGCAGAACTATGAGTCAATTAGACCTCTTTCCTTTATAAATTACACAGTCTTGTGTATTTATTTATAGAAATGTGGGATGCACTAATACAATTATTATTAACAACCTTAGTATCTTGTCACTGTCATTGGTCTTCCCTCTTTAACATCTTCTAACCAACTGGTTCCCATTCCTTTAAGCCTCTGGATTCTCCTCCAAAATTTTTTTAGACTGGAGAAATGTTGAGCATTGGAAGGCCCTTCAAATGTTCTTGCCTTAGTTTGAACATGAGCAGGTACCAGTGCTATAGTTCCCTGAGTTTTTCCAGTTGGAAATGGACTGTCTTCTTAGTGTTTGCTTTTGCTTCCAGCATTATTTTGCTGAGGCAATTCACCACATAAAGTAGAGAAGTGCTTTGCCTTACCATCTTAATTTCCATTTAAGGGGCTGGTGATAGTAAGGGCTGTGGAAACGATTTTTTGAATGTCCTTAGACTTTAAATATGTACAGTTGAGTGAATTTAAATATGCTTTCATATTTAAGATGCTTGGATTTTATTATAGGCTCTATGGTGAGGCATTCATGTGGTGTAAAGAAGAGCTGCGCATATCTGAGAGGCACTGTGTGGCAGGGTTGGGATGCTTCTGTGGGTAGGTAGTCAATTTCTTCTCCATTTTCTTATTGTTTTAGTCTTTGTATTTGATTAATCTGCTTGTCAGCAGCATTTGTGTCTTCTCATCCCTCTTCCTTGTGTAAGGTACATTTTAAGTATCAAGTAGTTATGTTATATTAGTGGATACATGTGGAATCAACCCCATGCTCTTTACTTTTCCTGGAAAGCTCTTCATCCAGGTACACATGTATGATTTACTTCCTCACCTTACTCAGGTTTCTATTGTCTCATCTGAAATACTTTCCATGGCCATCCTCTCTAAAACAGCATGCCTCTACTACTCTTCATCACCATTTATTCCTATTTGTGTACTTCTATCTGTGTTTTTACTTGTGTATTTGTCTGTTGCTAGAATATCAGCTCTGAAGCACTTCACATGTTGTTTTGTTCTCTGTGGTATATCCAAACCCTAGCACAGTGCCTAGCTTAAAATAGTATTCATGAATAGCAATGAATGAATAACAGAAAAAAATGAATAAACCTCATTCCCTGCCCTCAAGATACGTAAAGGATAATAAGGAGTAAAATATTTAACAATTATAGTGTAATAAGAGCATTATATAAATAGCTAGAAAATATATTTTTCTTTGAGATGGAATCTTGCTCCGTCGCCAAGGATGGGGTGCAGTGGCATGATCTCTGGTCACTGCTGCCTCTGCCTCCCAGGTTCAAGCAATTCTCTTGCATCAGCCCCCCAGGCAGCTGGGACTAACGTGTGTGCTACCACATCTGGCTAATTTTTGCATTTTTGGTAGAGACAGGGTTTTTCCATGTTTACCAGGCTAGGCTCAAACTCCTGGCCTCAAGTGATCCACCTGTCTTGGTCTCCCAAAGTTCTGGGGTCCCAGATTTAAGCCACCACGCCCAGCCAATAGCTAGAAAATATTTTTAAAATATAGGGAGAGGCATATCTCACCAAATAGTGAGGAACCAGAAGAGGCAGAGGCTTGATATATGAGCTGGGATATCTGTCCTTACTCAGATGGTATCTATTCTTATTTAGATGATGTCTGTGTGGCCTGCTGAGGATCAAAAGCTTCAGCTGTCAGAGGTTGTATGTACCATTCACTCACCTTCTTTTAGCAGGTATGCTCTCTGCAGCTTTCACAGTCATTAGGAGGCCAGTGAGTATGTCTGCAAGCAGTTAAGGAAGTCATCTTTGAGTTCTTATGGCCATCAATTTTTCTTTTGAATCTGTTTGTCTAGCTACTTTTCAAGCCTTTGGGAAATGCTTGAAAAGTAGTGTGTCATGTCAGATATCAACTTGTTAACTGTGGCTGAAATTGCCCCTGCCACTCTGTAGATATTGGCAGGAATTCAGATAACCATTACTGAAAATGAACCGGTATCTTCTCTCTCACCATGTGTGTGGTACGTGAGTTTTGGCCCCTTTCTATGACTGGCTAAATAAAAATCTTCAAGATTTTTCTCTCAACATTCTATGTAACAAATCATTTGAAGGCTGGAAGTCGGTAAACACTTGTCCTAATCCAGGCTCTGCTAGTAATGGTCTTTATAGCCATGAAAGCTTTTCATTAAAGTTTTCCAGTTCTGCAATTCGACACAATAAACCACAGACTTTGGAATCAAAGAGCTTTTGACAAATTGAGGAAATGAACCAAAACAAACATAACATTTACAGCTATAAGTTGAAAGACATAAGTTGTGATAGAGGAATGAAAATGGAGTGAGGAAATTTGGTATCTAGTTTTGAACTGGATACTAGTTGGCTGTGTGACCTTGGCACATCATTTAACCTCCAGGGGCCTCAGCTTACACATTAATAAAATTAGGATTTTTTTCTAGGCCTATACAATCCAATAGAATATTGTGTAATAATGGAAATGTTCTGTATCTGCACTGTTCAATGTAGAAGCCATTAGCCACCTCTGTCCATTGTGCAATGGGGTTAGTACAATTGAATAAGTTTTAGTTTATCCAGTAGTTTCATTGCATTATTTGAAACTTTCCTAATTGTCAACATTAGTCTTATCGAGAAGTAGAATTCACCTCTCACTATAACTGTTAAAAACCCCAGCAATTTGCTTTTCTAGTTTCCCTTGCATTGAGGGCTTGGGCACATGACCTAGACTCAACCAATAAGATGCATCTACTCCTGTTTTTGAAATAGAAGCTAATTGTGCAAAAAAGCAGAGTCAGCGGAAAACATATACATCAGCCACAACGTCAAGCTTCAGGGCACTGATAGCAGTAGTTCTTGTGGGGGAATATATAAGAAGTGACTTTTACCGCCCACCATGTTTCTGAGACCTCCCCAGCCATGTGGAACTGTAAGTCCAATTAAACCTCTAAGCATCTATTAAGAAGGGATGCTGGTTAACACTTAAAATGAAAGATTTTCCCAAAAGAAAGTATTGATGGCATAGTGTGATTTTTCTGTCCTTTTGCCCCCTCTTATATATCTCTTTTCTTATTTATTAACTCTATCCCCTTTCTTACTGCAGGGCACCAATGCCCTGCTGTCCAGTGTGCCTTACGCAGCACCAGGAGCTCCCAGTCTTCCTTTCCTCTCTGCCTCACAGAACCCCTGGACCTCATTCTTTAGAAGGAAACCTATATACTCATTCAAACCAAGGAATTAATGGCACATGTGAGCTTAATCAGCCACTCTTTCCACCTAGAAGGCTCATTTGAATTAAAGCCTCCTTATTGTTTAAAGAAGATAATAACACACTAGACTGATTGAAAAATATGTGCCAGGGTCAAATGGTAGACCAACACCGCTTTATTGCAGCTAAAGCTGAACTGGAAGATTCGACCTGGATCTGGTAGAATGCTTCCTCCACCCACGTTCCTCACCACATTTCCAAGTTCACATCTTAAGACCCGAGTGTGAGAGTGTCAGTTTGCAGAGAAGGCTCACTCAGCTGTATATCTCAAACCTGCTAAGAGCTGGAATAGGGAGGAGGGGCCACAAATACACAAAGATGTTTAGCACATAACCCCACCTGTTAGAGAAAGAGGAATTAACAGAAGTCATATACTTACTGTCTGATATTGTTTGGTTCTGTGTCCCCACTCAAATCTCATTTTGAATTGTAATCCCCATGTTTCAGAGGAAAAACCAGGTTGGAGGTGATTAGATTTGGGGGATGGTTTTCCCCATGGTGTTCTCATGATAGTGAGTGAGTTCTCATGAGATGTGATGATTTTATAAGGGAGTTTTCCCTGCTCTTTCACACTTTTCTCCTGCCACCTTGTGAAGGTGACTACTTTCCCTTTGCTTTCTGCCATGATTGTAAGTTTCCTGAGATCTCTGGAGCCATGCAAAACTGTGAGTCAATTAAACCTCATTCCTTTATAAATTACTTTGTCTCCATTCTTTCTTTTCTTTTTTTTTCTTTTTTTTTTTTCTTTGAGATGGAGTCTCACTGTCACCCAGGATGGAGTGCAGTGGTGTGATCTTGGATCACTGCAATCTCCACCTTCCAGGTTGAAGAGATTCTCCTGCCTCAGCCTCCTGAGTAGCTAGGATTACAGGCATGCAACACCATGCCTGGCTAATTTTTGTATATTTAGTAGAGATGGGGTTTCACCACGTTGGCCAGGATGGTCTTGAACTCCTGGACTCAAGTGATCCACCTGCCTTGGCCTCCCAAAGTGCTGGGGTTACAGGCATGAGCCACTGTGCCCAGCTTCACTTATTTCTTTATAACAGTGTGAGGACAGACTGATACACTGTTTCTTCAGTGAGATCAACCACTTCTCACATAGGAAAAGCATGTAAGAAATGGAAGGAAGCTTGTATGCTTCAACACATTACATACAAGAAGTTAGAGGTGCTTATTTTGTGGACCAACAGAACTCTAAGATGGGACTGGAAAAGCATGATTCTTCCTACTTTTCTGTGCCACAAGAATGGATTGAAAATATAGAAAATTGAAGTGTTTCCAAAGGCAAAAGCAATAAAGGCTTTCCTGGTGCCATTTAATCATGTTTCATATATAGAAACCTGCTATGATTTTGTGATTATTTGTTGTTTTAAGCAGCCTCTGTTGTCTTGCCTTTTAAAAAATAGTCATTCACAGCCAGGGACAGTGGCTCATGCCTATTATACCAGCACTTTGAGAGGCCGAGGTGAGTGGATCTTTTGAGGTCAGGAATTCAAGACCAGTTTGGCTGACATAGTGAGACCTCATCTCTGCTAAAAATA